CTATTTTATTGGAACGTGATATTGAATATGCGTTATATTGTCTTGTGTATTAGACGTATTCTATATTTACATAGTTTTTTATATTGAAACGTGATATTGAATGTGCGTTATATTGTCTTGTGTAGTAGACGCATCCCTTATTTACATGGTTCATTTTATTGGAACGTGAGCTTGAATGTGTTTTGTGCTGTTTTGTGTAGTAGACGTATCAATTATTTGCATGGTTCATTTTATTGGAACTCGAGCTTGAACATGTGTTATATTGTCTTGTGTAGTAGACGCATCCCATATTTACATAGTTCATTTTATTGAAACGTGAGCTTGAATATGCGATATATTGTTTTGTGTAGTAGACGTATCTCCTATTTGCATAGTTCATTTTATTGAAACGTGAGCTTGAATGTATGACATATTGTCTGGCGTAGTAGACGCATCCCTTACTTACATGGGTTATTTTATTGGAACGTGAGCTTGAATGTGTTTTATATTGTCTTGTCTAGTAGACGCATCCCCTATTTACATAGTTCATTTTATTGAAACGTGAGCTTGAATGTGTGTTATATTGCTTTTATAGTAGACGCATCCATATTTTCATAGTTCATTTTATTGAAACGTGACCTTGAATGTGTGTTATATTGTCTTTTGTAATAGACACATACCTTATTTACATAGTTTATTTTATTGAAACGTGAGCTTGAATGTGTCCTATATTGTCTTGTGTAGTAGACGCATCCCTTTTTTGCATAGTTCATTTTATTAGAACGTGAGAACGTGAGCTGGAATGTGCGTTGTATTGTCTTGTGTAGTAGACGCATTTCTTATTTCCATAGTTCATTTTATTAGAACGTGAGAACTTGAGCTTGAATATGCGTTATATTGTATTGTGTAGTAGACGTATACATTATTTCCATTGTTCATTTCTTTTTGAACGTGAGAACGTGAGCTTGAATGTGCGTTATATTTTCTTGTGTAGCAGACGCATCCCTCATTTGCCTTGTTCATTATATTAGAACATGAGAACGTGAGCTTGAATGTGTGTTAAATTGTCTTGTGTAGTAGACGTATCCCTTATTTCAATAGTTCATTTTTTTGGAACGTGAGTTTGAATGTGCGATATACTGTATTGTGTAGTAGACGCATCCCTTATTTGCATGGTTCATTTTTTTGAAATGTGAGCTTGAATGTGTGTTATATTGTCTGGCGTAGTAGACGTATCTTTTATATATATAGTTCATTTTATTGAAACGTGAGCTTGAATATGCGTTATATTGTCTTGTGTGGTAGACGCAACCCTTGGTTCCATTGTTTATTTTATTTAAACGCGAGCTTGAATGTGCGTTATATTGTCTTGTGTAGTAGTCGCATCCCTTATTTGCTTAGTTTATTTTATTGGAACGTGAGCTTGAATGTGTGTTATTTTGTCTTGTGTCGTAGACACATACCTTATTTACATGGTTCATTTTATTGAAACGTGAGCTTGAATGTGTGTTGTACTGTCTTGTGTAGTAGACGTATCCCTTATTTCAATAGTTCATTTTATTGGAACGTGAGCTTGAAAGTGTGTTATATTGTCTTGTGTTGTATACGCATCCCTTATTTACATAGGCGGGTGTCTTGCTGGCACTGTGACGTTGTGGAGACCGGCAGACGATGTACAGTGTGTGTTCCCACGCGCAGGGTTTAGGGTTTTAGCTAAAACCCAAAACCCAATTGGGAGTGTTTTGGCGACTGCGTTGCTTAGTTTGTGTAGTCGGGTGCGATGAAACTCATGGAGGCTCCGTGACCAATCTGAGAGTGTGGGATGGTGGACGGATGAAGTGGGAACACATGAGTGCCAGTGAGTGACTGACTATTTGAAACGTATGAAGTCAGCGGTAAGACTAATTGAACGACACATTTGTGCAAATAGGAAGCGCTATGTATAGCTCTATGGCGATGCCTACGTGATACATATCTAGATCAGGATAGGGATAGGACAGTATGTATGGGAATGGGGGTTATGAGAGGGTTGCCAATCTAAACCCTGAAACACCTCTAAAACCCAGATACGCATGCAACCCCTGAACTATAGTGCCCTGGTTGCGGATCCTGTGACGAGGTGTGGCAGTTGACAGCAAGTATCACAGGCATACGAGACAACTCGAAACCTGACGGCAAATAGATATGTAACCTTCGCATAAGTGGGCGGGATTTTAGAGTTTTAGGGCATCAATCGCTATAGAGTGTTCTACATCGCATTGCGAGCGTCCCACAGTTCATGGGAAACTTCTGTGCATTACAAACGACAATCCCTTTGCGCTTGCAGACACATCCCACATGTTCGGTACTCAATAACTCGCAACACATCTCATTCGATACAAACGCTCTCACACGATGGACAATGCTTTCTACCATGTAGCTTACAGTTCGCAGTGGAGCACGACACACACCATACTTCATTCAGTGACACAGCGAATACACCCAAAAGTATTAGCGTAACGACACTAAACCCTAGAACACCCAAAAGTATTAGTGTAACGACCCTAAACCCTAAAACACCAACCGCACATCCATGGCCAGGCACATACGTATGGGCAGTTGGGGTTGAGCCAGTCGTCGTGTTGGAATGATATGGGGTTGTCCACTCCCTCACTCTTGATGTCAAGCGTGTCTATCTTCAGCGCATCCTCGCCATCCAGGTACATGTATAACGACTGGAACTTGCCAATATCCTGTAGGGTTGTGGGGTTTTTAGGAGTTAGTGCACAAGGAGCGCTGGTTGGTTGTGAGTGGTCAGGGCGATGTGAGATATGTGAGCTAGCTGCCCTTGTGCTGTTGAGAGAGAACGACATAGAGATAACATTTAAACACTCAACGTTACGACTGGCATGTAGTGTTTGTAAATGGAGTACCCTGCACACACTCTGTGTACCGTGAGACGTGAGTTCTTGCGGTTACAACAGCGATAGCTAACAGCTGCTGCACCTCTATATTCTATCACTATGCTACACGTGGATATGGTTTCGGAAATAATATCACCACACCACGGCTACATTCCTTACATACAATTATCACACCACGCACACCCGCCGATACGCTCATCTTAAGTGTTCCTAGACCCAATGAGCTTACAACAAACCACCGATATTCAACAAATTTACATACGCTGGAGTAGAAGGACAGCTGCTCAGTATCCTTGTCCCCGACATTGATGAAGAAAGACTCGGTGCTTGTGCTGGCGGTAGATCCGTGCAGACGCATGTTCAATCGACCTGTACGCCCAGCCTTAGGCACTGAGGGTGTACAGATGAAAGAAATACAGTGTTCAACAGAGCCCATTTGAGTACAAACCGGCTGCGTCGGTATGTATCCAGATCCTTGCGCAATAAAACTGTGGAGATGTAGACTATATAGACTGTAATTATGTGGTAATGTGGGAACTGGAAGGATGACTATCATTCTTCTTTACTTTCCCTATCCAACCATGCAAGAGCGTATGACAGATGCATTGACTAGCGTGACGACACACACAACACTCAGTTTCAACCTAGAAATGCTCGCACGGGGGACACTTACCATCGGCTGTGTTGACAGATACGATATACTCCTTGCCAGCTGGAAGTACGGAGATTGTGACGGTCTCGTCCGCCTATAATATGATAAATTGGTTGGTTTGGACAAAGCATGTCGTTTAATAATATGACTTTTAGGGTTTTAGAGACGAACCATGGCTTATCTGGTATGACCTAATTAATGATTATGTGCAATTGCGCAAGGGCAGCTGCCACACCAAATCATTGGATTCCCTTTCAAATGATATAAGCTACAGCTGATTGCGGCTGTGTCATAGACTGTGCAAATCAGTCTCAAATAATACACACTTGGAAGATGAGCATACAAGTTTATAAACCCAAACCACAGGGTTGGAAATGTAGAACACAAAACGGTGCGTGGACGTAGACATCCCCAACGCACACAGAAAAAAGGGCGCTCATATACCGATAGACCGAACACCACACTTGTACTTACGTTGTGGCCTAGCCAGCCATTGTAGCTGCAGTAGTAGGTTTTTTTGGTTGCGCTATCGACGATCTTGGCCCCGGATTGGATGTATAGCTGGAGAAGACCACAGAGTAATTGTTTGTGTTAGTCAAGCACAGTGTGTGTTAATGTGTTAATTAACTGAGTAGGTGTTAATGTGTGTTGCTAAGCAATACCACTTAAGCACTTTCGCGGACGCTCGCACAATACTGAATAACAGTTTGTCACCAAAATGAGACTCGTGGAGTGTTTATATTTCGTAGCGTGTCCGTACTACAAATAATCCTCATGCATGAATGAAAATTCACATCAGTAATTAAATTAAACTTGCGATCATATTACAATACTCACCTCTGAATTCATTGGCTTGAAATGGCAAAATTTGGGCTCAAACGGCTGTATGTGTGTGTGTAGATAGAAATAAGCGGCATCAGGATAAGCGCATCGTTTATGAGTTTTCTGATATTCGGTGCAAATATGAAGGATCACAACTTTCAATCATGGCCCTCAATCAAGAGGAGAGAAAGCTATATTAAATAGTTGTTTAATACCTGAAGCAATATAAATACTGAACTACAGCTCACGTGATGGATAGGTTTATGAATTGGAAGCACATTACAGCATACAGCAGCGTACAACAATGCTGGAAGCAACCCCACACTGTGTGGTCAATGATAGTGATTTCTTTCTGACCAGAGATTGACGATCAATGTGAGTAATACGATAGGCTATATTCATAAAAGGAACTATGCATAAACTTACCCCGTCAGTTTGTAAAGTCACGGTGTGCGTGTTCACTCTGTTGCCTCCCAAATTGTACATCGCCATCGAGTGTCTTCCGTCCGTGCTTTCAATATCAATTGTGAACTACATGCATACGATATACAGATGTGAGTAACTCAGTTAGTGTGAACTACATGCATACGATAAACAGATGTGAGTAACTCAGATAGTGGATACTTGCGAATACTAAAAAAACATAGATTGTCATTATAGTCACAAAAAGAATAGTAAATAAAGCAATTCAGCACACTTTTGTATAATCCAAAACGCATCAAATCCTGTATGAGATCCGCCAAGACATTTGGATTAAGTACATGGATTGGCACAATCGCTCACACAAATGCACCATACATACATATATAAATATCCGCATATCGCAATAGATATCCTGAAAACCTTTGTAAGCGACTTTGTAAGCGACGTACCAAACAAACAAACTAGCATAGATGTACACCTACCACTCCTGAAGCGGAATCGAAATCGGCTACACTGGACGTGACGTCTAAGTCGGCGCTAACAAGCGATAGACCGAGCACGCTGAGTGCGGCGATTGGTAGCTTTCGGAACATATTTATTATAGGATCTTTCTATGTGCTAGTGTAATTATACTTTAACCGTCTAACAGAAGCTGCTTGATTGAATATACAGAACAAGCAAAGTGGCAGCAGTAGTATAATGACACAGGCAACTCAGACGCTAAGCAGTTTATTGAATTGGTTAATGTAGGAATCACTAGGAAGTAGGAAGGTGAAATACTTTGCTTCGACTTTTTTGTTCCACTCTGTAATTTTTTTTTTAGAACACAATCTAATTGGGTCAAATCTGGCGTAACTATCTAGATTATTGTACACAGAGTCACAGAGTCACAGATGCGGGATGGTGTAGGTGAAGGACTGAAGGTACTGGTCTGACTGACTACTTTGTAGTCAGTAACTAGACTCAGTACTGACTGACTACTGTGTAGTCAGTAGACTCAGTACTGACTGACTACTGTGTAGTCAGTAGACTCAGTACTGACTGACTGACCACTGAATGACTAATCAGAAAGAAGTGCGCTCTGCACAGAGCCACAGACTGCAGAACAGTCTAAACAAAATATAAATACGATGGAAATCATGGACTCGATGGAAGAGAGTATTTGAAATTTCCGTTGCTATACTATGAGCCAATCCAATTGCTTGATCTATCTATTTTATTTTTCAAATCTCCTTTGGTATTTGGTCTCAGTAGTAACAGTAGAGACTAGAAACCAGACAGTCACGTGGAATAGTAGTGACACAAATGGAAAGTCGATCCACAACTACATACTGAACGATAAACACGCACACGCACATACAATTCTGTTTATATAACAAACTGCACTATTTACCATAGGCTGATGAGCTCGTGTACATGTACTACATGTACATGTACACATTCTTGTACATGTACGCATATATGTTCGCATACATGTACATGTACGTATACATGTTTGTGTATGTGTACGTGTACAGGTGTATGTACATGTACGTAATAATAATAAATGCATTTCCCTGGCGTCACCCAAATAATTTACTTACAAAATGGTGAGTGTATTTAGCTCAAGTAGAAGCCATTAAGCTACCATCATGTTGCACATAAAGTGATCATTATTGCCCTGGATAAACCCTTCTAGTGTCAGATAGTCTTGCGCGCTATTTTAAAAACGCATGGAGTTGGAGATTCAAACACTTCTGGGGGTATTCTCACAAGTTCGTCGTGTTTTGAGCATAGTCTGACAGTACGGAGATTGAATAAACACGTGTTCATATTTATCATCAGATATAGATTCTTTTCTATCCAAGGTCCTGTACCATACATATATGTATGTAATATATATATATATATATATATATATAAAGTGTGTGTGTGGTGTGTATGTGTATAGATATGTTGTTTGTATATATAA